CGACCGAGACTGTCCGAGCCGGGGCTCGAATTGGCAACCTTCCGATTACAAGGCGAACTCCCAACTCTTGAGCCACGATCGCCCCGATCGATTTAAGTGTCGGGCTTTCCAACCAGGAGACCCTGGTTTGCGTCCCATTGAGACCTTTTTTGTTTTTGTTTACTCTCTTTCACTCCCACTCACTTGTTAGGTTTCGGCATTAAACATAAATGAGCCGTGCTCATGGTTCGTGCATTAATTTGTGCCCCTTAGTTGACACAAAAGAAAACATCTTCTTGATTTGATAGCCTCACACTTTGTCCCTCAAGCTTTTTAATGGGCTGTGTGAACAGCAAGACTGACTATAACAACCAGGACCTGTTTCAACATACAAATGGGAACTTGATTGTTATTTTTACACACTGGACAGACCTGCTCTTTTTAGTACTTCTTATACCTGATAAAGCAGACTTGATGCTCTCCCTTCTGTGAATGCATTGGTTCATTTGCGGTTAATGTAGAGATCAGGTTTAATTCAAATAAATACTGCAAAGCATGAATCAGTTTAAGCATAATTTGAAATATTTGATCAGTCAACTACCAACTGGAAGTGTAGCTTCCAGTCAGCTGTGGTCCAAACAGTGAATCTGCCACAGCGGGACACGCCTCAAGCATAATTGAACCCAACAAGATGCAACTGATCACACAACACAACAAAGCTACTGATAAAGTTTTAATTATTGATTTTGGGGTTCGGGTTATTATTTGTATCTGATTATATTTGAACTGGACAGATGGTTACACTGGTTTTTACCATTACAGTTAAATTCGATCTGGTTTATCTGCAGCTCAGGCTACTTATGCTAGCAACAGCCCTTAAAGTAAACAAACACACACACACACCATCTGCCAAGCAGTGCTTACTTATTAAATCTCCATCTTTCCCTTGTAGCTTAGTCTTAAAAAGCCCTCTCACAGGTGAAGCACTGGCCAAGTCATTTTGTCGGACTGTGGGCAGGCCGGGCTCGCCTGTAGACCTCATTACTTTTTCTGCAGTTTTAAAGCGAGGCAGCAGCTCTTGTGTAGTCATTAATAATGTTTGGCGTCTAAGTATGAAGCACAGCATACACTCACCTTCTTTTTCCTTTTTTTTTTCAACATCTGAACTGTCAGTGTTGTTCCTCATCTTTTCCTCTTCGCTCAGGTTCAGTGGATGATATTCCTAATAATCCCTCCTGCACCCTCCATTATTCTGCTGATGCTGTTTCCCACAGAGCAGATGTTTGGCATTCTTGCTTTTCTAATCTTCTTTGTTTTCGTCTTCCTGGCTCTCTCCTGACTACCTTTCTTTTTGCATCTGCTTTTCTGTCTTCTAGGAGGGACCAGGAGAGTGGACGTCTTTGGACTCTGAGGTGTTAATGAGGGAGGATGAGATCTGCGGCACCAGCAACCCAACTCCGCACCAAGTGCTGATGGACACTCGCTTTGAGTTGCCCTTTGGTCTGTATATTTGTGCAAACACATTTTCTTAAAAAAGGAAAACTTATCTTTTTGTGTCCAAAGATATGTGACTCTGAATCGGCCATATTTGTGGATGTGACATTGTGTCGTTGTCTGTTCTAAGTTAAATCAGTGGTTAAGAAAATGTATGCTGGGTGAGAGCAATAACAATTAAAATTTTGAAGATAATAACTATTTAAAGCATTTTAACTTCAAAATAAAACCCGAACAAAACAACTATCCACAACTTAGCAACATGTGAGATCTTTTCAGAGTGGTTAGACCAGGGGTGGGCAATCTCAGTCCTCGAGGGCCGGTGTCCCTGCAGGTTTTAGATCTCACCTTGGGTCAACACACCTGAATCACATGATTAGTTCGTTACCAAGCCTCTGGAGAACTTCAGGACATGTTGAGGAGCTAATTTAGCCATTTAAATCAGCTGTGTTGGTTCGAGGACACATCTAAAACCTGCAGGGACACCGGCCCTCGTGGACTGAGATTGCCCACCCCTGGGTTAGACTCTAAACATTGCACTAAATATAGCTGTTTGGAGTTTTACTTGTGCCATGTTGTATCCTCTAAGACTTCCTGTAGAATCCCTCATATATCAGAGCTTGTGGAGGAACCATTAGGCTTCATAAAGTTTTTATGAAAGATTTATTCACTGTAACATTTCGCTCCTAAATATTCCTCAGTCCTCTATTTTTATTCCTCTTCCATGGAAGAGTTGAGGTGAAGAATTGTGCATGGTAATATTTGCTTGCCTCTCATTTTTCAAGATGGTACATTTTTGTGCAGCTCAGGATAATTTGAATTTATGTATTTAAAAGGGAAAAAACACAGCAGTGGCTGGAGTGCGTGCTCTCCTGTTGTCCTTCTTGCTGTTTTTATTTCTGCAGTGCAGTCACCAAGCAAAGCTGCAATTCTGGCAGGTCAGCAGTTGATAGTGTTGTGACCATCCAGCTGG